CCCCAAAACCCCAAAACCCCAAAACCCCAAAACCCCTTTTCAAACAATGTGTGTTGAATAATTATTCATTGGTTACATGGATCTGATACACAATATCGTCCCTAGTCTTGTGGAAATTGATAGTAGCTTCTTTACTAGTGGCTTCTACAGACATGATTCCATTATATTGTTTATTCTTGAAATAAAGATCACCGTCTTGCTGTTTGAGAGGACAAATATGTCTAAGGAAAGTACCGCTGTTTCCTCCAACAAATTGATGTAATTTCTCTCCTTTCTTAAAAGTATGCTCCCTCTCTTCCTTAATGAGTATCTCGTCAGTTCCTTTAGGACAATCATTGATCACATCTCCAGTATCTCCTTCTAGTTTGATCACATCTGAAGGATCCATATTTGAGTATTCAGCCCAGTGCTCGTGACCCACAAACATGAAGTCGACCTTATATTTCCTAACCAGAGGAAGGAAATATTGCTTCAAACTACCATTAGTGAATGGAGGATGATGGATAGTTACTGCAAGCCATGCAGTGGTATTTTTAGTAGAGTGCTCTTTAAGTTTAGCTTCAAGCCATTCATAATGCTCTACTACAGGAGGAGATCCTATTTCTGTGTGCAAGGACTCGCAATAGTGCTGACCTGTTCTATTTCCTTCAGCACAAAGGAGTTTGCAAGTATTAAGCATGAGATTAACAAAGTTTTTGCCAGAGCCATCATTGAGAGGAGTGCTGAGTTCATAGTAATCGCTTTCCATTTCCCATTGATCGTTATATTGGCTGTATAAGATTTCGTTTCTATAATCTGAATGACAGTCGTGGTTTCCTAGAGTGGGATAGATCTTTAGTTGACCGATGTAGTCTCTCCTGTATACACTAGTTACTAGCCAAGGATGAAGTCTGAAGTTGATATTCGGAATTCCCATAATATAAAAATTATCTCCAGCAGTGATAATATGTGAATAATTTTGCTTGGCAGCAAGACTCTCCATTATTAAGGATGCCTTTCTTAACCCATAATATCCTGCCAACGTACCAAAGTCTCCGATCACAAAGAATCTTGTCTTGTCATCTGCTTCCACAGTTGGTCTATTCGGTTCCTCGAACAAGTATGAATAGATGTTAGATAAGCTAAATTCCTCTGATAACGTCAGTTCTTCAATTGGACTAGCTCAGAATCAGGATATGATACACAAAGAAATAAGGAGTAAATATTTCATTTTGTAATATTTTTCAACCATCCTTTATATTTATGGGGTTTTGGGGTTTTGGGGTTTTGGGGTTTTGGGGTTTTGGGGTTTTGGGG